AATGACACTGAAGTTAGCAGACGTCTAAAAATTTTTGATTTTTTTTTTAATTAAATTACAACTAAAAAGATATTTTTAAAAAATTGCACTTATAGTTCGTCAAGTTTTTAACATGTGATATTTTTTTTTAATTGTTTAATTGAAATTTTTTGGATAAAAAAATTTCTAAAAATTTTGAAATGTCAGCTAACTTTTCATAAAAAAATTGACATGTAGAAATTTTAATAAATAAAAAATTCAATTTTTTTTAAAATAATTTTTTGGGACAAATTTTTTTGTTAAATAAAAAAAATTATTAAGTGACTGCTAAATTTAATGTCATTAAATTTTCATTTAAAAAATTTTTTTCTATTGCTATATATTACTAAAAAAATTTTTTTATAAACTTTTTTCAAAATTATTAATATTTAGCAAGCAATAAAAAAAAATATTAAAATGATAAAATTTGAGAAATTCCTATTAAAAATATGACATTAAAGTTAGCAGTCAGTTGATAATTTTATAATTTTTTTTTAACAAATAAATTATTTTTTAAAAATAGCATTTTTAATTTTTTAAAATTTCTACTCCATATTTTTTTTTTTGCCATAATTTGTGTTAAAAAAATTCTTAAAATTATTTTATATTAGCTAGATTAATTTTGATATTAAAAATAAAAAATTTCTAAGTTATAAAAATCTTAATTTTGAATATATTAAAAAAATTGTAACTTAATATTACTGTCAAAATAATTTTAATACTGAAATTCCCAAGCATCTGTCAATTTTTAAGATTTTTATAATGAAAATTAATATAGTAAATACTTATTAAATTTTAAGAATTTTTTTAATAAATAAATTATAACAAAAAAAATAATAATAATTAAAATAATAAAAAAAATTATCAGACAGCTAATTTAAAAATGAATAAATAAATTGCTGTATTTACCTTAAAACCCCAAATGGAATTTTTCAACCACGGTGGCGCCACCTGTCAAAAAAGATTATAACCACACACACCAAAGTTCAAACTGATATCGACGGTATGGTTACAAATATAACAAATAAAAGTGTGTCAAAGTTTATTTATTACACATCTTAATCTCAATGTTCACTCTTAAACAATTACTCAAAAAATAATTCATTAAAAACAATAAATACCAATTAAAGATGACTAGTGAAGCTGTAAATAAGAGCAACCAAGGTGAGTCTGTTATAATAAATTAAATTAAATTAAATTTTTTTCTTAACCTATAAAATATTTAGTAAATTTTTATTGAGCTTAAAAGAATAAAAAAATAATTTAATTGAAAAAAAATGAATAAACAGAAGTTAAAATCAATGAAAGAAATTTTTTTTAGTAAATATTAGATTTTGCTGTTAATTTTCTGTCATTTATTTGTCAGACGTGAATAAATTAAGATAGTGCAATCACGTGTGCCAATCACGAGGCGCTTATACAAATAAACGGTCATTTCTGAGGGAATTGACGAATCAGAAGCGACACGTGATTTGAAACTAATTGATTTGGTTTTTTTTACAGATTCTATTGGACCGGAGGGTGAATTCTCAACTAGGCGCGCTATTTTAACTGTTGGGTTGATTTTTTTAACCTCTTTGACTGCATTGTTATATGTATATACTAATTTTCCGGATTTAAATGAGTGAGTAATTCTTTTTTTATTAATAAAAAAGAAAAAAAAATGATATTTAAGAATTTTTTGTGTTTTTTTGTATTAATTAAATTAGAACTAAAAAAATATTATAAAAAAATGCATGGATTACTTTTTAAATTTTCTACATGTGGAATTTAAAAAAAAATTTTTTATTATAAATTTTTCAATGAGAAAAATTATGAAAATTGACAGATATCTGCTAACTTTATTTTTATTGAAGTTAACTGGCATTAAAAATTTTTTTATAATTTTATAGTATTGAAATTTTGATAAAAAAAAATTTAATTAAAAAATTCCACATGTGAAAATTAAAAAAAAAATTAGTAATAATCATTTTTTTTCATTGTAATTAATTTTTTGTACAAATTAAAAAAAATTTTCAGCTAACTTCGGTATCATAAATAAATTTGGTCAAAAAATTAATCAAATAGCAACCTTGCAGTCACTATGTGACTTCCGTGACTTGTGAACTATAAATAAATAAAATTTTGCTTTATTAAATAATGACTTTTGTTAAATTGCACTGTACTTTCTTAAATATT